AAGCAAAACTTAATTGTACCTTTTGTAAATCCCAAAAGAAAAACATTATCATTGAATTTTCGATAAAATTCATAAATACCAAAGTATTGATGAACTTTGGGTATTTACCCTAAGTTCTAAAAACCTGAGTATATTACATATATGGTCAAGAGCACTAACATTTAACTCAGTGCCTAATCTGGTCACAGGGTTCCCACGGTCTTTAAAAGTCCTTAAAAACTGCTTAACTTTTATTTGGGTAAATAAGGGCCCTTAAAAGTACCTCATTTTGGTAGAGGTTTTTAAAAGTCCTTAATTTTTCAGCATCACAGTTGATAGGAAAAAATTTTGAGTTCAATTTTTTTAGAACAAAACGTCATTCTTTTATCACCTAGAAGTAGATATGCACTGAGGGTAGAGCAATTTAGAGATACAAGACCGGATGTGTGTGAGGGGGGTTACAGGCAAAGAGAAGAAAGCATGTCCTTACATTAATATACTGGTTCTTTCATTAACCAGGGTGCGTAGTGTTTGTAAAAAGTACTTAAAGGTGCTTTTTGGGAGATTTCGTTTTTAAAAGCTTTAAAGGTGCTTTTTTCAGCTGGTGCTTTTAAAAAGTGCTTTTTTTTTCACAAATAATTTTTTTTTCTTCCTTCAATGATATCTGGCGGATCCCCTGCATTTCACAAAAAATGGGGTGTTTGCTACGTAATCATTCACACAGACTTCATGTCGTACCCACGTTATGACTTGCGCATGCGCGCACGCTCGAAACTGAAACCCAAGTGCTCCAATTCAGATAGAGTCAGATCCTTATTAAATGTTTTTCTTTTTAATTTATAATTTTATTTTTGTTTATTTTATTTTACTTCTAACACTTTTTTGATGTAGGGGGTAATGGTACTTTTGTTCAGAGTCAAGTTGAATTCACTCGGTGATGTGGGAAAGTACTGATTGTTTCGATTTACGTCCTTCCCTTTTGNGCTAAAACTGTTCATAAAAAGTTTTTGTTTTTCAATAATATCATTGATTCAATATGAATTTTTTGAGTGCTTGAAAATTTTTGTAAAGTGCTTGAAAAGTTTTTAAAAAGTGCTTATTTTTGATTCAAAGATTTGGCTATGCACCCTGTTAAGGTATTACTAGAATGATACTCTATGAGGAGCGTGGCATTCGAAAAGAATGGAGTGTCGACAAGAGGGATACTGCACATGGAAGAGATAGCGCTTTTTTGGGAGGGAGGGGACAGTTGTAAGGTACTTGAGTGGAAGACCTGCACTGCCCTTCAAAATTGACAGAATACAAGAAACTCAGTTCTACTGGTAATACTCATTGGAACAAAGAAAAACCCTAAGAAAAGAAGTATCAGAATTTTTTTTTACTAGAATCCATAACGAAAACTATTTCCAAAAATTTTAAAAGATTTGAATAAATTTTTATAATATTTCAATGTGTAATAAGTAACTGTAAATTTATAAAAAGCAGTAACATTTTTTAAAATTCATGATTGTACTAAAAATTAAACAGATTTGTAATAAACAGGGTTTGAAAAATCTCATCCCACTTAGGTTTTACATCAAAAACCTGAGATTTATTGGGGTTTTGGTATACGAACCTTTTTTTAAAAATACTTTAAAATTTTTATTCCTGAGTTCTAAATAAGAATGCATGATTTGCTCTTAACAAGAAAGTTAAATATCTGGTAACTATTTATAACTTGTTTTGCACTGTTACGATATTATTTTTATTACTTAAGGATAAGCAGATTGTTACATAAAAATTTAAATCTACTCAATTAAAAGATCCCAAACTTTTTGTTATTAATGTCTATGAGAATAAAAATCAAACTTAGATTTTAATAATCATTTTTCTCAGTTAACATTGCAAATTAATATTTTTTTATTATTATTTATTAAATTTCTATTCAGCTTTTGGGTGTTTTAAAATCAGTTCATGTTTTTCGCCTGCTTGTATTGATCATTGTATTGATAATATTATGTAACGGTAATTCCTAATATCTGTTTTGGCTGGAAATAATTGTAAAGCTCATCAGAAAAGTAAATATAACACATTTGCTGTTAAGTAATAATTTCAAAATGGTTAAGTTGCATACCATTTTCAATATGTTTTTCATAAAATTTTTCAATGTATATTTACAAAACTATTAATTCATGATAAAAATAAAATATCAAATCATAATGGTAGTAGAGAGTAATATTAAGAATGATAGATGATGATAACGAAATATTTCAAGTAAATATTTAAAAATGATGAAAAAATAAATAATTTATCAATATTTGTTAATTAGGTAACCTTACCAATTTTCTGGCCATAGGAATGCGTTGATACATTTGAAAAATCATTTTAGACCCTTTTATTTGTATGTTTCACCAAGAACTAGTAAAAAAAAAAAAACATATTAATTTGAAAATTATAAATCTTTTCAATCATAATTATAATCATAAATCAATCCTATTTTTATTCCATAAAAATTTTCATAAAAATAATTATTTCAATGACTTTAAACAATATATTGAGTTAAGCCTAATGAAAGAAAGTGGAATGATTTAAGGTGCTTGGATATTAATATGGCTTGTTTTTACATGAAAAGGGGCTTAAATTAACATGACATAGTTAGGAAAACTACTCTCATTCAGCTTTTTAGTTCAATGTATTAATTCTTTTTATATATATCTTGATAAATAAAACATTTTATTAATAAAAAAGAAAGAATGCTTTTGGCATAACTGAATATTTTAGCAAGATTGGCCCACAACTGAATCTGTGTTGCATATCTATTAGCGAAATATAAAAGCTTGTAATAATTTTTCAATGTTTTTCCCTAGTTTCTTTATTTGCTCTTTTTTGTTTTAATATATGAAGAAAAAAATTCAAATCTTAATTTTTGCACTTAATTTTACAATTCAATTTCAAGGAAATCATTAGAAATGGAATACAGATTAGTTTCATAGATGTCGTTAACCCTTAGCCATCTTAAAATATTATTTTAAAAAACCGAACCTGTGTTTGCAAAAATTGCCTGGTCCTAATTTGGCGAGAGCTGTTAATACAATTTTATCAGTACTTACATTATAATAAAATTGTTTTTTTATTACTTTTTTTATTTATTGATTTTTTTTAAGAAAGTTAAATAATTAGCACTGTCACTGGTGGTATATATTTATTCAATGATAAACAATCATGCTATTTTTAAAGTCCTTAATATTTTTTTTGAAATAAGTTCTTAATTTTTACTTTGTTAAGAGAGTGGGAACCCTGGATCATTATACTTTCTTTCCTCAATATAGGCTGGTGAGGAAGATAAAATAAAATGTTATTATTTGAAACTATTTGTTCCGCTGGTTCTACAATACCTTTTTCTAAATGTTCATTTAATATTCCCTCATACTGTTCATATGGCTATCATTGTTCTGAAAACTTCCAAAAAGACTTTTAAATTTCTGTTTGGCCAAATTGTAAATATTATGTAATTATGCATTTTCAGCAAAGATTAAGATCTCTTTATTTTTTTTTTCTATAGAATCTCGAGTTTTTAATTAACAAGAGGAAGTATTTTTAGAAATGTTTCTGTTCATTACAGCAGCAGTTATACATCCCAGTTTACTTTCCATCAAAATAATAGTACTCCTTAATTTGATTTGAGCCTAAGAGTTCATAAAATACTTCTGTTCCAATAAATAAATCTGTTTTACCTGGTTTATTAAAATTAGAATCAGAGTACGTTAAAAGAGAGTGAAAATTTATCTTAAAAGTATAACATTTACAGTATTAGTCCATGATTTTTGGTATATTTAGAAATGCAAGTGGATAGTTTTCTTGTAACAGCCAAATTTGATCAATTTATGCCAGTGATTGAAGACTTTCTTTTTTAGTCTTAATAAATATGCTCATTCTGTGATAATAAAACTAGATTGACTTGCATCATCTATTAACACTCTTAATGTATGGAAATTACTTTTGTAATCCTTCACATAAATAGTAGCTATACTAAGCAAGATGAATTTCCCATTATTTTTATTTGATAGGGAAGGATTTTGTGATGATGCGATTGCATCACTCCCTATGTTTTGACAGTAGTGTTATGAGAGCTGGTGTTTAATGGTGATGAATATTCGTGTAATAATGTGTAATGATTAAATCATCTTTTATACACAAAACGAGCACTTTTTGAATTGCATTGATTGAAATGATATGAATCACTTAGACAATTATAGCAGACCTTATTTTTCTTTACTAAATGTATTTGTTCTGATATTTTTATGTTATTTAATTTTATCCAAGTGATATAATGCATGCGATTAGGATTTACGAGCGTAACATCGTTTTTTGGATTGTTTGGGATTTAACTTTGATCAATCAGAATTAAATTTTGATGGGATGTTAGAATTAATACTATTTAAAATTTGGCCTCTTTTCAGGCTTATGATTTAAAGCAACAATTTCACTGCCTTTTGGAGGCAATGATGCAGAGCCATTGTCTAGCTTATGCTTGTAATCAAATAGTAGCTGAATTTATCTCTGAGTTGCTAGAACCAAAAAAATTGAGGGGGTCTTATGATAGTAATGAATGAAGTGATGCAATCGCATACATCGTTGACTGAATTGTTAAACGAGTAAAATTTGTTTGATATAAGAAAACTCAAAGTTCAACAGAATAGCATCCTTGGCAAACAGGAGCAGTAAACCTGCCTGATTGTCTATATCCAGAGAGAGAATGAATCCAGTGATTCCCAGAGACGTGTGATGAACGCCACCCCCGTTTGTTCCTTTAGAAGACCATGCGTGGGTATCGTGTATCTTCGTTCGAAATTAAATGTATGATTTCAGAATAAACAACCCTTTTATGAATACCTTACCTACTAATATTATCTATTATGCAAATTCATCAATATTTTAAAATACATTAACAAATTGACATCTCTTTCAGCAACTTTTTTTCTGTTGGGATATATCTTATAGATTGAATAAGAAATAATTTCCTTTTTATTATTATTTTCTAGGAATGTAATCAAGAGGAAAATTTTAAAGTCAACTCTCAAGCATCTCTAACAAATAATATTCAAAATCATATTAATAGTGAATCAACTGATTCAAAGAGTTGTGATACTGAAAGTTTTCTTTCATCTAAGCATGCTGACAGTGAATCCGACAAACATTTGATTTCTCCCGATAAAACATTTTACAGAATAAATAATGAATTTATTCCTTCATCTAAAAATTTATTAATAATGAAACCAAAGGCTTCGAATGATACACTGCTGTCTCATAAAGAACAAAATGGTTGCAATGTTACTTTTGTAAATAGCAGTGATGTAGTGTCTGGTGTAGTCATGGTAACTCAACCTACTCAGCCAAAGATTGCAGCTACAGACATTTTAAACTCTGATTTGAATAATTTAAATATGAAAATTAATGATATGTCTGAACAATTATATAAAGATAAAATTTGTAAAAAAGCTCCTCTTTTAAATGGACTACTGGATAAAGGTAAAGTACAATTATCTGAAGATATTCATTCTTTGTCTTGGTTACAGAATGGAAATTTTTCAAAAATAAGGACAAGTGAATGTGAATTAAAATCTCAACCTTTGCAATCAGCATCTGCAAGCACTATTCGCATGTCCTCAATCAGTCCTTCATCCCAAAACTCTGTTACTAAGCTAACTTCATTACTGTGTTCATCATCTGTGTTGTGTAATGTCAGTTCACAAAACTCAACTGTTCAAACTTCATTAAATTCAACTGCAGCAAATTGTTCAATGAACAAAGCATCTCCTAATAGTAGATTATCATTACCAAATCTAGTTACCACATCATCAATGAATACAGTATTACTTTCTTCACCACTTTCAAATTCTACAGTATCATCAAAACCACTTATTTCATCAGTTTTATCAAATTCATCGACATCTGTGTTAAACGATGTAATTATCTCAGCACAATTATCCTCTTTTGGATCGCAATCATCCTCTACTTTAAGCACTAGTGATAAAAGTCATTCTAATCTTAATGTAAGTTCTTCAACTTCAATGGGTAAATCAACCTCAAATCAATCAAACTCTATTATTATACCTTCATTAGATAGAACTGAGCTATTAAATTCAACTAATGAAATCTCATTAAATTCTAATGAGACTACCTATATGCCTGCAGAGCCTTCAACAAATTCAAAGGCTGATCCTTTGTTACTATCGAATTCTGAGCTTTCATCTAATTTAACATTACAGTCTGCATTAAATTCAACAATAGAATATACAGCTAGTTCATCCATTATGCCTTCAATTTCTATATTATCCCCTTCATCAAATTCTACTTTATCTCCTCCTTCAACTACATCTATATTAAATTCTTCTGTATGTTTTACTCATTCAAATCCATCTGCCATTTCCCCAACAGTTTTACCATCAACAGCTTTCAGTTCAGACAATAGTAATCTTGTGCAAATTTGTACTGGACAAGCTACATTATCGGGAACAATTGAGGTTCAACCTGATCAAAAAGGTGTTGTCAGACTTCACATTGAGAGTCCTGAAAATTCAAATCAGGGCTCTGATCTATCATCTATCTCTGATATTGCACGAACATTAGAGTGTGCATCGAAAGCAATATCTAAAACAAATGCAGAATGTACTACACAAGTGTCAGACTGTGGGACTTGTGAAACTGCAGCAACTGTTACTGTAATTACAACTAATACATCAACTGTAGCACAAGCAGGTCAGCAATTTATTGTTGTTACACCTGCTCTGAACCAACCTCAGTTGCATATTCAATCACCAAACATTAAATTTCGTATTTTACATAGCATACCAAAAGCTGAAGAGTCAAATGATCTGGTGCATGTGAAGCTAAATCAACACAATCAAAATTGGCAACCTCTTGAAACTCCCTCCATACCAAATTCCACTTTAAAAAGGCCGTCCAGTGATACAACATCAATATTAACTGAAATAAAAAAACCTCGTATAGACACAAAAACTCCTTTATTAGAAGCCACACTGCGTCTATCTAATCCAGTGCCATATAATGTTGCTTCTACCAGTGTAAATATTACTACATTTCAAGAAAACCAATCAATATTAACCAAACCTCATTCTGAAAGCATGTTATCTCCAAAATTAAGCACAACAAGAGCAATTCCTGTTCAAACCACTGACTTTCCTTGTGAAAAAGAATCTAAAACATTTTCTGGACTATCTTCTGCTTGTGATAATCCTTCTCTTGCAGTAACATCTCAAGTGTCTCCTAAATCTCTCTCTTCAAAGTTAGAGTTTTTATGTGAATGGAAAGAATGTGGCCAGTAAGTATTAATATTTTCTTTAATGTTTCTCCGTTACACACATTTAATCCATCTTTATATTAAAAATTAGTAAATATTTTGAATAATCTTTCATTACAAGGGAAGAGAAGAAATAGCAGAAGTATTATAAAAAGTAATAAACTTTTATTAATATTCTTTATAATACTAAAAATACATTGTTCACATTTGTCTAAAGGTAGCAAATTTGTTATTCTCAAAGGTGGTTCTTTTCAAACCTACATCTAAGAATCCGAAACTCTGGATTTTTAAAATTTTCTGGCAATCGGATCATGTTTAGAGTTCTCATTTACGTGCAATTTTAAGTTTTTCGCGTTTTCTTAAAAGAGAGGTTGCTCCTGAAACATTTAGAATGAAAATTCTAACATTACAAGTTTGAGCAAAAATTATGCATAGTCTTTAAAATCTTGTTTTGAATTCGGTATAGCATTCGTTACTCAAATCATGCATTTGAGAAAATCACATTTCGGTCCCCTAGATTTTGTACCACTTACTATGACAGGTAGTTTAATTATGTAAGTTAAAAATTCAGTCTTTTATAATAATGTCTATTAACAAAGTTTTTAAATCGTTTCTCAAGCAAAGCCCATTTGAAAAGAAGAAAGAAACATCTTTATACCCACCAAGTGGTTTTCTTCGTATTTTATTATTTTCAATCAATTTTCCAATTAACAAACTTCTTTCTTTAAAATTATCTACTTATTGCTCTATTAATTTAATTTAGTACAGTAGAGAACCAATTATCCGTGATGCTCGGGACCATCGCTATCCCAGAAGTCTGAATTCCCAGTTTTTTGGATCAGCAAAAAAGCGTAGTTTATCGATGTTTTATCGAACCAAAATTACAATGAAAACAAGGTAAAACATTTTAAGAAAAGAAAAGCTCTCCTAAATTAAAAAAAAAAAAGAAAAATAACATTTAAAAGAATAAAAAAATAACATTTAAGAGCTTTGACAAGAAAAGTAAGTTTAAAAAATACAAAATTCGCATATATTTATTTAAACATTTCATCAACTTTTAGCTGACGAAATTTTGGTTTCGTATTAAGAAACAACTGTTGGATTTTATAATCAGCCATTTTATGAGTTTTCTCAATAAATGATTTCTGTTCCATTCCAGCTATCGGTTCTTTTGTTAATTCGATACATCTCTCATTAGATATGACAGAAATTTGTTCAGCCTCATCTTTGTCATCACTTTCTTTTTGTTCAGCACCTGGGTTCAACACCATCTGAATAATTTCGGAATCTGTCATTTTATTTACAATTGGGACGTCATTAAAACACTCATTAATCTCTGCTTCTGACATAAGGTCCTGCTCTAATCATTTTCGAGAGTATTCCCTGAGCTCATTTTGGAAATCTTTTTCTTTTAAAATTTTAAAACCTTCAAAAGGAGAGTCGTCAACATCTTCTTCTAAAAAAATACATGTCGGAATTAACTTCCGCTATCAGGGTTGCCACAGGCGACTGAAATGCAGCTATTTGCAACTATTTTTGGCATGGCAACTTTTTTTGCCTGAAAAGGCTTAAAAAAAAGCAACTATTTTCAGGAAAAGGAAACTATTGGGAAACTTTTCTGTACTCCTAGCGATTATTATTATTTTTTTAAAGCATAAATTGGGTGGAAAGATAGCTTCTGAACACACTGAACTTTTTTTTTTCTTAAAAAATAAAAAAAATTGAAAATTTTGAATTGCAAATTTGAGTCTTCACTTTTTAATTCGTTCAATCTGCACAGGCTCCATTGTAACTCTATTTCATTTCTCGATCGCCTTTTCAATGATTATTGCTAAGAAATTCCACATGATTTTTAAAAGAAAAAAAACAAAACAATATTACGATGCGTGAATTTCAAATTTCAGTTATCACTTTTCATATCTATATCTATAAACATTTACGTTTACATAAAAATTATCATATTTGCCACCAACTTGACTGAATGGATCATGGTGTTTGACAATTAAGTCATTAGCAAAATTTTAGTCATATTTTTGATGAATTTTTTTCTTATTTAGGCAACTATTTTCCTAGTTTTTGGCTACTATTTTTATGTTTTAGGCTACTAAAAGCAACTATTTTGATTATTTTTTTTCTGTGGCAACCCTGACTATGCATGAGTTAATGTATCATGTGAAACAAATTCCCATGCTTTTGCTGACAACCATATAGCATCTTTCACGATGAATGTTCTCAGAAAATCTTGGATGGATTTTCCTTCATTAGCTGTGTCGATCAGCTTCTTTAAAAACTCAACCTTATAACGGCATTTTAAGCTTCGTAAAATGCCTTGATCGAAAGGCTGTATCAATGACGTACAGTATGGGGGGAGATATTGAATTTCTATATTATTAGCAGTTAAAACAGCTGCAGGTGGATGTGCCGTACATTTGTCTAAAAACAAAACAATTTTGCAGTCATCTGGCAATCCCACCAAAACTAACAAATATATAAACAATCCATATTTAGAGTTAATCCTTATTTATTAAGTTAAATCACAAAAAGACGAAATAACTGAAAAATAATGCATTTTACCAACAGATAAGCAAATAAATAAACAATAAAAATAAATAAACTATAAAAACTTATATATTTAATCTTTAGGTATAAAATAAATGAATTATCCCCTGAAGTATAAAAAAGAAGAAAAAAAGGAAATTTTAAGGGAGAACTAATTAATCATAATCAATAAATTATAAGAACAACTTTTCAACAGTCATCCCCCAAACCAACTAAATTAATGAAATATTCAAGATTTTATTTATACAGCATAGGGAACCAATTATTCGGAACGATTGGAACCATCGCTATTCCGGATTACTGAGTTTTCCGGTTTTCTAAATCGCCACAAAAAGCCGTTTTTTTTATTGTGAAACCCAACTTTAAAAAAAAAAAAAAAATTTTTTTGGAAATAATCTTAGAAAGAAAAAAAAAACGATGAAGTAATTCACTAATGATTATTTCCAAAATGATGGTAGAGTAAACATCTTTCAAAAAAGAAAGAAAAATCCTAAAATCTTCTGAGGGAAATTTTTTTTAAATTTTAAATGGCCGGAAAATGTATCGAATTTCATTCCGGTTTTTTGGTTTTCCGGTTTTCTGATTTCCGGATAACGGGTTCTGTACTGTATTTAAATGAAATTAAAGCGTATTTAATCAACTGGCAAACGTTTTTAATAATATAAGGGGGGGAAATTATAAAAATGCAATATGTTTAGATTTTCTATTAAAAAAAATTAAATCATACATAAGATGGATAGATTGAAAAATATTAATTAAGATGGTAAAACAGCAAAATTAAAAAAGATAACTCTTTTTGATCATAATACCAAACAAACTCAGAAGGAAACTAATAAATATATAAATTAATTGAAGTTATTAATTTAATTGAAGTTGAGGAAAATTATAATAAACCAAATAAAATCAAATTAAATAAATAAAAAAAACTCTAGAAGATTACCAAATGAAAACAATAACTTGAAAGGTCTGTATCATAAATATTAAAACCGGGAGATTATAAAATCTACTGAAGTAAAAAGATATAATTTATGAAGTAGGAAATTTATTGTGAATGACGGGAGGCAAAAAAAAGAGGTATTGAAATCAGAAATAAATCGCTTTTAATATGAGGAAGCTGCAATCTGCCTGATAAAATAATTGTCTGATTTTAGTTATAAATAATTGTATGCTTCATTATTAAACAATCTTTTCCGTTCCTTTTTTTTATGAAATCAGAGGATTTTTAACGAGAGCAAATGCGATTCCACATCAAAGTAAATTTAAAAATAGAAGAGAAATCATGATTAAATGAAGGAATCTGAATTTATTTAATCAAAAAATATTGTTTCGTTAATTAGCGTCAAATAAATAAATATAACAGACGGCAATAAAAAAATAAATAAAAAATGTTTTAAATTTTAATAATGTATTGTCAGAAATTATAGAACAATAATTTGTCATAATAAATCATGGATAACAAAAATGAAAAAACTGGGGAAAAAATAAAAGATTAAAAAAAAGAAAAATTCTAACATGTCAACAAGTTTCAAGTTCCTAGACTCGGACTTCTAATAGACAACATTCCAGAAATGATTAAGAATAATAGAAGAATCTTAAAGGTGCAAAAAATAACGTCGGTCCGGTAAAATTCAGATATTTTCTTTTTTATTCCATGTTGCGCTAGCACAAATTACAGTACTGAAAACGGAAGCGAAATCTCATAATTGAGTAGTGTCGAATTCTCTGACAGTTGTTTCCAATTATGTTTTAAGTTTTATTTTACTGAATTATTCTGATTACTTTTTAAATGAGAAAATTTAATCTGATTTTTTAAATGATCAACTTAACTATATTCTTACTTTATTATTGAAATAAAATTTGCCGTTTTTTAATCATTTTCGTATTCCAATTTGTATTTCCATTTCAGTTTTTTTTTTTTACTTAGTAATGTATGGGGATATATTTCTCTTTCACCTTCTGTTCAACGTTATGCGTGTGCAATGCTTGTTCTCCCCCCCCCCCACATAAATCAAAGAGAAAACGAAGACAGCATGCCACTCCCTTTTTGATTGACAGTAGCTTATCTGAAAACCACCAATTCTTTGGAATGCAGGGAAGAAAATAAAAAGTTTCTCCTTTTCCTGCCTAAAGAACTCCAAGGTTACAGTAGAAATAATGAAGTTTTCACTTGACAAATGGTGAAGAAAATACCCGCACCCACCTTTTTCCCTACTAAACTTCAAAAATGAGTAACACTTCCGCATTTTTTCTCCATCCTTTCAGTTCGAAATTAGTTCAGTTCAAACTGTTAAATTGCTTATGTCACATACCTGAAGAACTCTGTGTATATTAGCGATGTCTTTTCGCCAGTGATGTTTTACTTTGACAATCTACGGAGAACCAGGATCGGATGATACGGGAAATGCAATAATTCTATTTTCTTTTTTATTCAATCAATTTTTTGGCAGTTATCACTATTGATT